GTCCGGAATCAATTTAGGGTACAATTTTTGGTAGTAGATCAGTAAAATTGTGTTACCCTTTTACCAATTACAGTAGCTTAGTTTAGCTGCATTTCGTTGCTGGTTTATAGCATCCGGAATACAACAATCGACACATTCAATAGAAACATATATAATTCAACGGTAAATGCAGTAAAATCTGTAAAAGAGCAAAGTGGCAAAAAAACAATTTTATATGTTCATCAGAAGTGATAGCTTGAACTTGAGTTATTAATAACTGTTTTGAGTCTTACAATACATAAGATAACTACTATTCCTTACTTTAATTGAAGAATATTCTAACTTTGAATTGATATAAAAATATCGATATTATGGTTTAATTTAATAAGCGGTCCAACGTCAGGCGTCAGCACTGTACTTAAGACAAATAATCATTTGAAGTAAAACCATGATAATAAAAATGCATATGCTATCAAGAATACCTCACAAATTTTCAGATATTTAACTTCGAACTAATTTTTATGTAACTGCTGATCAATTTAAAATCAAACACTTAAAGTACTTAAAAAACATACATACAACAAAAATTATAAGAAAAAAACACCATTAGGCTTTGATATTTTATCAAAGCTCATCAAAATAACTAATTTTACCTACTAAAATAATCTCTGTAAAAAACATAAACCATCATTGTAATCGTTTCTTTTAACTTCTACTTGTATATTGATTATTAGCTTTGGGATACTCTATATATATATGTATAAGAATTTGTAGAGAGAATGCTGGCAAACATAGGCAATGTATAGCACATATATTGGGCATTATAAGGATGAGTTCACTTTTCAACAATTTCTTATGCATAGAGTTCTAACAAGACAGAACATGAAATGAATTTATAGTTAGAGAAGCAGAAAAAAAGCAAATAAATGTTAAGTTGAGAGCGAGAGAGAGGCAGACACATAGTATAAAGTAAAGAAAGAGAAAAGACAGGATAAAATATCCTTCAAAAAGCAATGAATAAAAAAATTTATTTGAAAAGTTTTCCTTGTGACTATTTCCTTCCATTTAAAAAACAAAAAAAATGAAAACAAGAAAAAGATCAAATAAATAAAATGAAAATTTGAAAAAAAAATCTTTTCTGCTAGAAAAAAAGGTATCCATGAAAATTGTGAAAAATTTACTAATAGAACAAAAACAAGAAAAAAAATTCAAATAGACTTTTTTTTTCCTGTGAAAATTTTTTATGTACGATTTCTGTACTAAAGTGCAAAAAAATGTTACAAAAATCCAATGAGCCACTTATATTTTACACACATACACACCAAAAAACTTGTACCTATATATTTACTAATAAAATAGCCACAATTCCAAAAAAACATTTACATTCGTACATATATGTAAGTATGCATAAAGTACATAGATATTAATACTGTAAAAAAAGAGCATTATGAAGTTTTGAATATTCCATTTAACTTTTTTCCATTGAATTTAACCTTCTAATAAGGTGTTTTATGTCAATTTGCTACAATGAACCAACAAAATACAATAGAAAAATCAAAACATAAACAAAATTCACAAAAATAAAGTTGGGTTAAACCAATGGTTTCTATTGTAGCACTTTTCCCTTCAACAAGTGAAAACAATGCATTTAAATGCACGGTCCACACTATTAAAATTATTTTCATTCATATACGAAACTATTTCTAGGATTGCATATATTTAGGATGAACGATTTATGCAGTCTTTGAAATAAAGCAAAAATTAATATAAGCAGGGGTTAACATAATGCTCGATTTTAAGGGTTACTTGTGTGAGTTAAGAAAAATAATTATATTTTTTAATATCATGGAATTTACCGTTAACTTTTTGCATTTATAGAAATTTGAAAAAGCTTGCGGTTTCAGAAATATAAGGTGTAGAAAATGCAAATTTTACAAATTTTAAGAGGCCATAACTTGAGAGGGGGTGGAGATGGAAAAAAATTTTCTTCTAACGAAATGAACAACATGTTAATGTCTAAAAGCCCCTAAAATTTCAAGCTTCTACAGGCTGGTGTCTAAAAGAAAAACGACATCAAAAATTTGGTAAAAAAGGACTGTAGATAACGGTAAATTTGAATGGCCATTTTGTTTTTCTAAAAAGTAACTATAGTATACCGTGGTAGGGGAAGCAAGCCACAGCCTTTCTGCGTTTGCAAAATTTCAAAAATGCTTATGGTTTCATTGCAACAAATAGTTAAAATAGGCCATTTTTAGTGCTTTGGGGGGGTATAACTTCTATAGGGGGGGAGATAGGTAAAAATTTTGTTCTACAAAAATAAGTTTCTAGTAAAGATCTATGTACGTATTAAATTTCAGCTTTCTATCTTTAAAAATGTAGAAGTTTTGTAAACAGACACACGGACAGACGGACGGACGGACGGACGGACGGACGGACGGACGGACGGACGGACGGACGGACGGACGGACGGACAGAGTGAAACTAATAAGCACTTTTTTTCAAAAAATTTTTGGAAAAGTGCTAAAAAGGCACAATTTTTTTTTTACGTTTATTACGAACGTTAGTAACTTTATTACCTTATTACATTTTGTTTTACAAAATAACCGCATATACATACATATGCACAGAGTTTAATTTAAAATTAAATAATGTATTCTTTCATATTCCTGGATTCCACACATAACATAATTTGCACATTTAGAATACATAACGTAACTTCCCGAAAAATATTTCTGATGAAACATAATACTTCATTATAACAAACTAAAATAATACCTGTTTTGACACTTAAAACTGATCGATAAATTAATTTAAACAGTCAGGTTGCCGCATTATCTCGTTTTCAAAATGTAGTCCCTGGTAGATTTGTATACCTACATGCTCTCTTGACTTCTTTTGTAACTTTTAAGTTTTCTAGTGTAATTTTATGATACGTTTCTTAAATATGTTTCATAACCATTGATTCGAAATTCATTTTAGCTTATTTTCACAAGCTCCTTAGTTAATATTTACTGCTAGTTTCAGACTATTACTGCTTACTTATCAAGTTCTTTAAACGATGATCATTAGTGAAAAGTGAACATGTCGTTCCTTTTTGCTCCAATAACTTGTTCTGTTTATGCAAGATACTCATGTTATCCCGTTCGTTTCTTCTTCCTAATGAGTTTATTAATAGCTTTAACCAAATAACCATTCCTGACTGCTGTGTTCAGTATGAATTTTTCTTTTGCTTTTAAGTTCTCTTTTTGTATCAGTGTAGTTACCATTCTGTGGATCATAGAGTTAAACGTTGCCATCTTGTGTAACAAATCCACTTTAAAGTTTCCTTCAAACTATCAAAATGACAAATATACGTGAAAAAACGATTAACGTAATGGCAACGAAGTCATTTATTAGTCATTTTGAAAATTAATAATTTACAATTACAAGAATGGTTATTTTACATTTTGAATATGTTAACATGCTGTTTCAACTTATAATTTTCATAATTTAGTTTAATCTCACATTATGGATTATGTATTTTTAGTTTTTATTCAAGTTCTGTTTTCTAATTACATTTGCAAATAAGCTGTGTACAGCCAAAAAAAAATCTAAATAAAATATTATTTTTCAACCATTAATTAAATTATATTGAAGGAAAAAATATAATATGCAAAAAAAAACTTTGAATATAAAAGTTTAAGTTTGAAAAAAAAATATTTTTTCTAATTAAACATTGAAGTAATATCGAAATATAAAATTTTAATTATACCATTTAGAATAGCTAACAAACTCGTTATAAATAAAATTAATAATGAAGCAAAATTTCCACAAAAATCCAGAAAGTGTTTCGTTATAAGTGTAACCTCGCTAACGGTTCGGAACTATAATAAGATTTTACAAATACACCGTAAAAATAAACTATTTAGATAAATAACAAGTCAAGGCACTCGGTTTAAGAGCGTTGAAGTGTACCATTCGAATATATATATTGCTTTCGTATTTTTATAAAATCCTTAATAGAGATTATTTTCAAATATATGTATGTATTGAATTATTTCAGTGTTTTAATTATCATAAATGCTAAATAAATTTAACGTTAACACAAATGTTACTACAGTGATTTACACTGTACAATGTTACTACAATGCAAATTGCAAACCTTATATCAAAATATTACAGAAAATCTTCTCTAACTCTTAATGAACAATATATGTGTGTGTATAATTTATATTTCACACAATATACAACCAACATATCAACGAAAAGGGTAAATATTCTTTGGTTGTCAGATCAACAACTTAATTTAGTTTTCTACTTTAAATCTGAAAGACTTACTGTACTAATAAACTATATTAAACTAAACAAAATTTCAAATTATTGATTTCGAATAAATGACCTGTGACCGTCACAAAACACCAGAATTTTAAAACTATATCTATAATTTTGCTGGTTCACCTTCTGTAAAATCTTATACTTAATGCTAATTATATCCAAAAATATTTTAATAACCACCATATAAATTTGCTTTATTAACATGTTGTGTCTGTATTTGCAGGATACTAGCATTTTAAAATCTAAAAATTGCACATTTTTTCCACAATTATTCTACCACTTTTTTTCCAACTTTTACCAAAATTCTTTCAAAGAAATCAAACAAAAGCTAAAAAAAAAACAAAAATAGTTTTTTTTATTACAAAAACAAAAATGTAAATTAACTAGCATAGCAGTTTTAAAATGAAAAAGTACACCACTTTCACCTTAAATTGCACTCCTATAATTGAAGTTAATAACTAAAAAGTATCTATGTACATATACATACAAAAAAAAATTTTTACTCATTTCTCTCCTGCTCCGGATGATTGTATGCTCTGGCATAATATAGTTTGCAACTTTTTTTTTTTACCTATATTTTTTATCTCAGATTTTTTTTAATGTAAAAAAATTTTTTTAGTAAAATTTTTTTTTAGATTTTTACAAAAAACAAAAAAATTCTACATTTTTATTATTTTAATGTTCGGTTTTCTCTTTTTTTTTCTCTCATTTCTATTTTCTTAGCTGATCCAAAATTTAGCTCTCCAATTTCCAACGTAACAATATCAGTAGGAAGGGAAGCTGTTTTAACATGCAAAGTTCATGATCTGAATTCATATAAGGTAAGTAAGTCAATGTTTTACATGTTTAATGTTAATGTAGAAAAGAAAAGAGCAAAATATAATAGCAAAAATATAGAAAAAGCAAAAAAATTAAAAAAATTCATGGCATAACGGTAACAATTTTTTGTGTATGTGTATAAATGTATATGAAAATTAAATAATTGAAAGGAATAAATAGAACAATAAGATAATATAAACGAGAAAACAAAAAAATAGTAAGTAATACAAGTTGCTAGTTAATTTAGTTGAAAATCTTAAATATAAATTTTAAGTAAAACAGAAATGAAAAATATTTATACGTTTAACCAACTGCATATATACATATATATAAAAACGTAAAGTCTATAACAGACATTTACAGTGCTCCCATATAATTATTATATTTACATACATATATTTTTTATATGCTTAGAAATGGAAATAGAAGTTAATCTAGGCTCACTGCCTGGTCTTTATAATCGAACAGGCGATTTAACACTCAACAACTTATGTTTTTTAACTAAACTTTTATACTGCTTATGCGGAAGATGTGTCTACTCTGTTCTCGCGTAAGTCTCTGGGTGTAATAAATGAGATAATGGAAGAGGATCTTGAAAGACTAGATGGCTGGGCGCAGTATTACGGACTTTCTGTGAACCCCTTGAATACAACGGGCCTTATTTACGAGAAGGAGGACAAGTTTTCTTTGCCTGGTTGCTCATCCCCAGCAACTCTGCGGTGAATCCACTGGAAAGAAACACTTTCGCATGACGGCACCCTTTCCCGCCAGTGACGGCCGCATTCCGCCGAGAGCAGGCAGGAAAGCCTGGCCCCCACGGCGGAAGAAGGCATGCCGCAGAAAGGCAGCGGTTGCACAAAGTCATCAAAATGAGCGTCACTCTGTTCTCCGATGCCAATTCCATAAGTGCAGCAAGGCAGCCCCAGACCAGCTTGGATGTAATCTGAGCTGAACGAAGCGCCAGCAGTGCAGGCCTGCTGTCCGAGAACACATAGATGGTACGGTTTCTATACCCCCTTTCTAAATTGATTCTCAGACAGATCTCTATTGCATGTATTTTGGTCTGGAACACTGTGCAATACGGGTCAAGGGTTGCATATACACGCGTGTCCGGGCGGACACCGAACCCACACCCGACTCCGTTTTGGACCCGTCCGCATAGCACAATCTCGAACCCGACCCAAGTACCGGGCCACCCCGATCGGGAAACAGAACCCTGTACCTGTGGTCGAAGTTGTACCGCGGCAGACAGGTATCCGACATGGTTATTCTTAGAATCGGATCGCTCTCAATGAAGTCTCTGTGAGTCCTGTGGGCCAACTTTAGCCCAGCCCTGTCCTCGCCAGAGAGAAGTCGGTAAGTCACTAGCCGAGCTTCCTTCAATATATGAAGGTGCAATGCCGGCAACCCGATCATCACCTCCAATTCAGCGGTAGGAGCCGCCCGCATTGCCCCGGTCACTCTCAGGCAGGCCAACCTCTGTAGCTTTTCCAGCTTGGCCCGCACACCTGCCTGCTGAGCCTTACGGCACCATACAATCGACGCGTAGGTGACGATGGGCCTAGCAAGGGCCGTATATAGCTACAGTGCTATCCTGGGACTGATCCCCCAGGTCCCACCGATGAAGTTCCTACACGTCCACAAGGCCGTCGTGGCCTTCTCGATAACTCTATCTATATGGGTATTCCAGGAGAAACGATCATCCAGGGTTACCCCCGAATACTTCACCTCCCTAGAGTAACTAATACGTTCATCAAACAGAATCGGGCTCGTATCTATCCCTGCTTCTGCGTTTGGTGAAGGCGACCAAAGCGCTCTTGCTTGGATTCATATTTAACCCAACGCCTTTGCACCACCTCTCCACAACACGTAAATTTTGCTGTAGAAGATCAGAAATAGTGCTCTCAAATTTTCCCCATACAACGAAAACCACATCTGAGAGCAGCGATTAAATCATCCACTATAATGGACGACAGGAGGGGCGAAAGAACCCCACCCTGCGGACACCCTTTTGCAGCGGAGATGAAGAGTATATCGTCAGCTATGGTGGACTTAATAATCCTATCCTGTAGCATCCGATTAACCCATCTGCTAGTCGTCGCAGCAATTCCTCGTTTGTGCAACGACTCACAGATGACATGATATGGGGTGTTGTCAAAAGCTCCCTCTATATCAAGGAAGCAGCCAACTGCCACCCGCACTTCCAATGAGTTTTCAAGGACCCCCGCCAGACTCTGCAGAACGAGTACACTAGACCTTCTTGACTGATAGGCGCACTGAGATTCACGTAAGGCATTGCTTCCCAGTGCATCGTCCCGTATACATCTATCAATCACTTTTTCCATTGCTTTCAATAGAAAAGAAGTAAGGCTGATTGGACGGAAAGACCTTGGGTGGTTGCTTGGTCGCTTACCCGCCGCTAGTGGGATAACCCTCTAGAAAGCAGAAGAAGCTGCAGAGAGTGCATCTGGTGGCGTGCGTATGTATTGTGTACTGTACCTACTTTGGTTTTAGGATTATTCTTTGACTGAATAAAGTGAGCGAGCAGGTGAATTCACTGGCTGCGAGGAAAGTCTTGAAGCTCCACGCAATAGATATTTTAATAGGCAGTACTATATGCACTGTGGGATATTAGAGGAGTATAGAGTACGATTCTACAAAGGTAGGAAGGAGTACTAGAGTATTGGGTTTGGAGGTGTCGAAAGAATAAGTTTAAACCTATTTCATCGCAAAACAATATCAATAATTTTTAGTAGCAATTAATGTGAGAACACACAAATACAAGATGTTCTTAAACTTTCAAAGACTTCTTTTGATTTTCTCCTCATAATTTACTTCTTTTATATATTAGGATCATATTTACCAAATTTACGAGTATATGCACTTATATTTAGATGCGTATATTGGAAATTTCAGCAAAATTCAATCGGATCTTTTTTTTTTCTTTTTAATTGACACTCTAAATTTACATAAATTTACAGTCGAAACTGTCTTGAGCTTCTTTTCCTTTGTTTGGTTTTTTTTGCTCTCGTCCTTATTACTAAGTATAACTGAATAGTTCCCTTTTTTTCCTAATCTTAAATTGAATGGAAAGAGAAAAAACAATTATTAAACTATCTAGCTATGTATATGTGAGTATTATACTCATAGTTTCATATATCCTTAAACAAACTCCAAAGATATATAATATATCTATACATACGTGCATGCTTAGGTATTAAATAAGATATTATTGAAAGAAGTAAAAGTACGTGAAACTATAACCTGAATATTAACATTTTTTGTACAGTAGTTGATCACGTTGAGAGATTTTTAATTTTTACCTTTAATTTTTTTTTTTACTTTTCATTTTTCCATTTTTTTTCTCCTGACATTTTGTAGTTTATATTGGAAAAGTTTTACTCAAATTCTATATTCAAATTGAATTTACTTTTATAGTATAGAAAAAAAAAATTGTTTGAACAAATATTAATGGCATTTACATAAGTAAATTTTACAAATATCTAAGGATTATAAGGATTAATTTTTAAATACAATTCGATTTCGTGCAATGGTCATCTATATTGTACTGTATATGTAGAGAAATTTTGTTCTATTTTTTTTCAAAATTATTAAATGCAAATTCATTTCAATCAATTGAAATTTTAGCCGAACTTTATTGAAATACAAATCGGAAAGTTTCACTAACAACAGTTCTTTACGACTACCTAAACAATTATACAAACTTTGAAAAATGTACCTTTTTTCCAAATTTGGAAGCAATTTTCATTCGAAAATTTTCCACAGGAACCAATTGGAAATCTTACCAAGTTACATACTTAATTGAAATAACTTTTTTTTTAAATTACAAATTACTTTTAAAATTTTTTATTCCATTTCTTAAGTTACTTTGTTTATACTTGGTTCTTCTTACTGGCAAAATAATTTTTTTTTTTAATTTTTTTTTAGTTAGCTATTTATTTATTAATATTAAAAAATGTCATAAACAATATTTTCCCAACAAGAACAATTTTGTTAAAAACAGGAAATGTCTTCGGAAATCTATTTAAAAATAATTTAATTTTTTATTTGAATTTTTAATATGAAAATTGTACATAGCTACATATAAGAAAATTATAGGAAAAAAATATTTGTGTAGAAGTAGCCTAGAAGTATGCAATTAAATTTACTTAAATTTCTAATTTGTTTTTAATAGAAAAAATTTATTTTTAAAGATTTATTTTTAATTTTAGATTTTCAAAAATTTATAAAAATTTAAAATACAGTTGTTAGCTAGTTCATGTTATTTTACTCAAAGACTTCAAATTCAAGTCAATTTATTTTAATGATATCAATGAAAATTTTCATTTACCAACCTTCTCTAGACGCATATATTACGAGTAGAAGAACAAACTACATATATGATTTTTAAAGAATATGCAATGAAATAAATGCATTGCTCGTATTTTAAATAAAAAGAAGTGATTATGACGGGTTACTAAGTTAATCCAGTAAATCTTAGTTAATATTCAATCTGTTCATCCCAATTAAGAGGATAAAGATTTTAATCGGTCGTATATAATTTTAAATTGAAATAACTTTACAAGAATTCCTATAAATGTCGACAAGGATTGCACTAATTCATTTTTTTATTTCAAATTATTCCTTATAATAGAAAGAAAAAAAAAACTAAAATATAAAGAAACAACTGAACAGTAGTAAAAAACTAAAAAAAAAAAAGAAAAATAACGCAAAATTTTTTTTTTTATCAAAAAAATATTGATTCCGTTTTTTGCGATTTTTTATGCATAGAAAAAGGATAATAATATAGGATTACTGAAAGTTTTTCAATAGAACAAGAAAAAAATTGAAAAAAAAATTACACACTTGATTCGAAAGTGGAATTGTTTCTGAAAAAAAAAAAAAACAAAATCAGATTTTTATAATCAGAGTAAAAAATAATCGAAAGAGACTTGCCACTGCCATCATATATCTCATTCCTCTCTCTCCATCTCCCCTGAATATAATATTAAAGTTTTTAAATTGAAACTCTTGAAACTCTTGAAACTCTCTCTCTCTCTCTGTGTATAACTATGTTTAAATTGTTTGTCAAGCGGCAAAACTTCTTCAAACTCGTTAACAATTTATAACCAATTTTTGTAACTGTTTTTCAATTGCTTTTTATCTGCCCTTCTACTTTTATTTCTTCAAATATTTTTCATATTTTTTGATTTTTTGTTTATTTTTTAACAAATTGAAAAAAAAAAATTTATCAATTTCCTCTATTTTTTTAAAGAATTCAAAAAATACAAAACATAATAAAAAAAAAACTTTTTTTTTTTATATTTAGGTCGCATGGCTTCGTGTGGATACTCAAACTATATTAACGATACAAAATCATGTAATAACGAAAAATCATCGTATTAGTATTAGTCAAACAGAGCACAGAATATGGCAACTACGGATACGTGATGTACGTGATACCGATAGAGGATGGTATATGTGCCAAATCAATACGGATCCAATGAAAAGTCAAGTTGGTTATTTGGATGTTGTTGGTATGCCTAAAAAAAACAAAAACAAAAAAAAAAACATCATAAAAGAAAAAAAAATTTTATCGTAAAACACATAAAAAGAAAATTATTATTCTTTTTTTTTTACTTTTTTTTTATTTCCTTAATGTTTTCCCTCTTACTGTTATATTTATATTTTATTCATATATGTTTGTTATATGTAAATATTCGCAGTTCCTCCTGATATAGTCGATAAAGAGACCAGTCACGATATTGTTGTTGAAGAAGGACATAATGCGACATTAATTTGTACAGCAACAGGTCTACCACCACCAATAATAACATGGAGAAGAGAAAAAGAGAAACCAATTTTAGCAAGTGGTAATAAAGAAGTTTACAGTATTGAAGGGCAATTTTTATTTTTGAAAAATGTTCAAAGACATCAAATGGGAGCATATCTTTGTATTGCATCAAATGGTATACCACCAACAGTTAGTAAAAGAGTTTTACTTGTTGTGAATTGTAAGTGTTTTTGTTTTTTCCTTTTTTTTTTAAAATCATAAATTTTTTTTCATTTTTGCTTGTTTTTTTTAACTAATAAATCCTTATCTTATTTCCTTGTCTTTTATACTAGTGACTCACATATATGTGTATCGTTATTGTATATGTGTGTCACAACCATATAATAAATTTTTTGATGAAAAGTTTTCCTAATTTCAACAAAAAAAATTTTTTTATTACTTTTCTCTTATCCGTTTATTTATATGTATGCATGTGTGATTTTCAGTTGCACCAACAATTTGGACACCAAATGAAATAATTTATGCACAACCAGGACAAAAAATTTTATTAGAATGCATCAGTGAATCGTATCCAACATCAGTTAATTATTGGTTAAAAGATAAAGAAATTATACAAGGTGGTACATATGAATCCGTAACACTAGAGAATATATTTAGAATTGTAATGAAATTGACAATTCGTCCAATAAAACCAGAAGATTTTGGTGAATATAAATGTGTTGCGAAAAATTCTTTGGGTGAATCATCAAAAATAATAACGATTTTAGGTAAGCATAATAACCAAAATTGAAATATGAAGTGCAGTCATAATTAAGAAAAATTAATTATCCTTTTGTCATATTTAATTTCGAATTTTTTTCTTCATTATTTTTATTTTCAATATAATATCATTGGTATATGTATATAGAAAGAAGAAGAGAAGATGTATTTTTAACTGCAAGAGCAAGTGAAGTCATTGATGGTAACAATTTGGCAAATTATCAACATGGTAATTTTTTGTAATTTTTAATTTTAAAAATATTTCATTTAAAATGGCTATTTTTCTCAATTAATTATCAAAAAATTTATTTGTAATTTTTAATTTTTTCTTGTTTTCTTTCTCTTTTTTATTGTTCTTTTTACAGATATTTCTACAAGTTCTTCCTTAAAGTATTCCAAAGAACTTTTAAATTCTATAATAATTTTAAGTTTTATATTTTTTAGCATTAGTATAGTTTAGTGATAAATTAATTAAAATTAATAATAAAGAGAAAAATAATTTTGTGGCTTCAGAAAAAAAAAGCAAAATGATATTTTTATTAAAATTTTATTTCCTTAATTAAAAAATTTAAGGCTTTGGCCTCATGAAATATGGATAATTTAAATTTTTGGTCTTATTTTTTGTAAAGCACTTTATTGACACCGATATAAGTAAGTATACAGATTGAAATGATTTTAAAGTTGTGAGTTTCAAGGTAAAACTATAATAAAAAATTGGTAGATTTTCTCACTCTTAAAAAAAAATAAGTGAACGCTCGGAAAATCTATACCCATGTTACACAATTAATTTCCAGTATATAAAGAAATTATTATGCTATTAATTTTATACTAATTAAAGTACATACGATTTCTGTAATTGGAAATCTTCCAAATATTTACGATATTAAAAGGAAAATTAAGAAAAACCCCATACATCAATGCACTTTTTAAAATTTTCATTTTCAATATCTTAAACACTTGTTGTATGCAATTACATATTTTTAATGCAATGATACAAGCTACCATTATTCCCTACATACATATAAACGTACACATTTAAATTGTTAATTTTAATAGCATAATGACTATAAATTTTCTCCAATAAATGTCAAAGAAACAATTCCAAAACATTGAATATATTATAAATTACTATCATCATAACATAATATGAATGTGTAACATGCGAACAAAGCTTCTTGTATATAAGCAGATTTTCAGAAAAAAAGCAAACAGAAATAAGTATGTGTAGTAAAAGTTTATTTATACGATAAAAGTTGGTTCACGTTCAAATATCATATGTTGTGTTATATACACACGTTCAGCATTTACATTAAGTAAGTATTCACATAAATAGAAAAGTATACAGGTACATACGTACGATGAGAACCGTACACAAATAATAATAATAAAACCCATAAGAATTCGTCAATGTCAAAGTCAAAGCTCATTAAATGTAGCTATATGAATTAATTTTTAACTTTGGAATATTGCCAAAGACGTAAAAATAGAAACAAAAAATGTTATTTGTATTTAAAAAGTTTTTTTGAAAAGAACAAGCCAAAAACAAAAATAAAAAATTAACAAAATAAAAATTTGTGATATAACCAATATAATCATTTAGCATAGCATCTCATTCCATTTTGGCCCCATGTTAACATTCGTTATACTTGTATATCTTCGCATATCTCACTCAACTACTCAACTCTCAACATAGAAAACCAAATTCAAACATAACAATATTTTCGTTTTCTAAAGCAAAAAAAAAAAGAAAAATAAAAATTTCATTTGCTATAAATAGGACAATCGAGAGTAACTTAATAATTTATTTAACGGATCACTTGACCAATTTAAAAGGATAAAAATATAATAAAATCATATTATACACGGGCCATATAAATATATATATATATTGTATCCATACACACGTGAACGTAGAGAAAATAAAATAGAAAAAAAATATTTACCCCAATAACAGCATAAATATGTTTGTATGAATGAATAATATAAGCGTATGTTATACTTGAAAATAAAAATTCAATAGGAATTTTATTTTTGTTTTGGTTAACAAGGAAAAAGATTTATTTTATAGCATATATTTAAGGACTTAAAAAACTTTAACAAGCACTTAAATATTATAAATTTTTAAAAATATACACGTAAAAAAAAAGTTATCGTCTCACACGGCAGTACACACACCATTCTCAGTTTATCCGTTTTATTAAAAATCACATATTACGAGTATACTCGGTTTACAAATAATAAAGGAGTTTTTTTTGTTGTATTGTAAAACTGTTATAATTTTTTTGTTTCTATACAGGTGTTAAAAATCATTGACAAAGATAAGTAAACTCCAATTGTCATCAGACCTGTTAATATAGCAGGAATTTATTAGCCTAAAAGAAGCTTGAGTAGTTGTGACTTCCTAGAACTAGTCAAACTGACTAACCATTAGTTTTGCTCTATTTTGTCTTTGTGTTTATATTCCGTGAAAGAAGGCATGGAAGGACCGTATCAGCGCTTTAGACTGAATCGAAAAATCTCGTTCGTTTCAGTTTTTGTGTCCTAATCCTCCCCTCTATAAGGCCAGAGGTTTCAATATTCACATGATGCTCCATATACTGTATGGAGCATCATGTGAATATACTATGTTTAATAGCACAGTCTCTTATTTCTTCATGTACTTCGGGAAGATCAAAATTACTAGCAACCAGGGAGCACCCACCATATTGCGAAGCGCCCTGCTCTAGGATGTTTCCATTTCCTTGCGTTGCTCAACTCCATAGCTGTATACAAATTGTCGATAGAAGATTTATGAGAAATGTAATCTATGAATAAAAATGATTAAGTATAAAATATTTAACAGAATTTAATATTATTATGATTTTTTTTTTTGGTTTTTGTTTTAATAAAATTTAAATAACACACTTGTCAAAATAAATTTTCTTGTTTCAACTACTTTCACTTTTCACTTAAAAAAAATTTTTTTAATGAATGAACAAACTTACATTTGGTATCAAGAATTAATGCCCTTACCATCCGGAACAATTAAATTTTTATGCTATACAATAAAATATAGAATAAAAAACAAAATATTTTTGATCCTTAATTCCATAACGTTCAACAATTATTGTCCCTTTTTTTTAAATTTCTGCATACACACTACCAAAAAAAGAAAGTGTTTTTAAAAAAAAAAGGAAAAAAAATTAATAATTGACTTTTTTCTTTAAATAAAATTTAATTTTCAATGTGAAAGCTTTTCATAATATCACATAAAAAAATGCAATAGCCAAGGTCTACTTTCTTTTTTCATCCCCATATTTCATGAAAATTTAAAGATTTTTTAATTTTTATATTGCACCTACATGCAGATTAAGAATGTCTAATAGGATTGTACACTTCCCTATTGTTTATATTCCCCAAAAATTAAAATTAAAATAAATTTTTTTTTTTACTTTTCGTTAGCAAAATAAAATCCGATAATGGAATGAAAATTTTAAATTTAAGTGAATAATAATGTGTTAATTTTTCGCGTCATGAAGATCCTTTAACACTATAAATGTATACGAGTATATCTGCTTTATTGCGTCTATATGCATTATGTGTACTTCTTAATTTTAAATATTGCTAAGCTGATTTACAACATATGTACACAAACACATACGAAAAAAAAATTTTGTTGAAAAATTTTATACATATTATATAAGTGAAACTTATTACGCCAACATTGAATAATAAATTAAATATAAAATTTATGACTTCGTATACGAATAATTTTATTTTTCTGTGAGCTATTATTTTTTTAAGTGAAAAAAAACATAATGGCAATATTAATGACCAAAATATTGCATATTTCTACGCGCATAAATTAATTCCAATTAAGGTCGTGCTATCAAATTGTAATAAATCTTTAAAAATAAAAATGTCCTGATTTTGTTCAAACACATATTGTTTGAAGTTCACAAAAATCATGTGGGATTTATAATTGTGTTGATTTTTTTTCTAGAAATAATGCGTAAGTAATAGTTATGTATATTAATAATAAACGAGACTTCAAATTTAGCCGTCCAAATTAAAACGATCTAAAAAAGTCATTAGCACTTTTTGAAAAGTCGTAAATCTATTGAGTGACTGAAAACAAAAAAGTCATTTTACTAAATGTTACATTAAGTCGAATTTATTTATCATTACTGATAAATAAAACAGTTGAAATGAACCCAGCAGAATACTCCTGGGCTAATTTCGTAGCCAAGCAGTATTAAATATTTGGATAAAAAATTAAAATTAAAAGTAATAATTTTAATATTAACAAAATCTACATTTAAAAAACTTCACAAATATCTAAAAAATTTCTTACAATAAGTTCATAATTTAAATTTTTTAATAATATGCTAGTTAAATAAATTAAAAAACTTTAAATTAAATTTTTATTTATTTAAAATTAAATATTTATTCATTTTTTCTATTTATTCTAATATTTTTCGCATTTTGTTTTTTTTTTTAGTTTTATTTTTTCGTAAATAATTTTATAATAAAATATAATTTTCATTTATTCAAAAATCTTTACTTGAAGCGTTATTACTTTATTTTTTGAAATTATTTTACTTTTTTTCTGCCTAAAAATTTTGATATTGTGAAGAAGAAAATATTTTACAAAACATAAAGAACGAAAACGTATAGTAGTAAGTATATAAGTATATTTTTTTTTTAATTTGAATGTTGGTTTCTTTTTATTTTAAGTAACGTAGCTTGCTTGCCTCTTTTTGTTTAGTGTTTGCCATCCTTAATTTGATCTCGGCTTAATTTAATTGAGAATTAAATAAAATTTAATGGTGACATAATAAAATCTTTAATTGAAAACTGTGAAAATAATTATTTTGATTTTTGAGGTTCATTATTCTTAATATTAATTATTTCCGGAATATTAATATTTTTAATAGAAAGTTTTTAAATCAATAAGTGACTGTAAGAGCAATAGCATTTATGACTTTAGAAATTTTATTTTAATTACAAAATTTAATTAAAGTATTGAAATGTAAAAATTTATACTTTTTTTTTTAATTTTTTTGCATAAAATTTTAAAACAAAATTATATTTTTCAAATTAAAATTCATTTAGCTATAAATTTAATAAATAAATTATAAATATTAATTCGCATATTTTTTTTTTGAATTCATAATTTGGTAATAAATTTTTTTTTCTTATAACGTTATTATTTCGTTATTAATACACATAATTTGTATATAAATATTAAATAATATAGAGGTATATATACATATATATATATATTTGTATATATATATACATATATGTACATACAAATATTTATTATACAAAAATTTATCATCGTCCATTAGTTGCTTTTTGCTGGTCCAAATCCGTTGTTGTCGATGATGATGTTGTTGGTGAAGATGAAGAATTTGTTGTACTTGATGTTGTTAAAACTGGTGTTTGTATTTCACCGTTAACAACATTTGATAAACCATTTTGATGATGACCATTTTGATGTAAAAATGTTGGTTGAGGATACATATCTGGTGTACAACCTGTTTCATTTGCTAATTTATTACGTTGATCATAAATTTCCTTAACTAATTTTTTAACGAAACTATGCTCAAATTTTCCATCTGTTGAATCAAAAAACTCTTGATGTTTCATTAGGCAATTATCACGTTTTTCATATTCGAAAGCTTGTAAAACCATATCAAGACGATCTAAATCTTTAACAAATTTTGATTCAGGTGATTCACCACTTTCGTATTCCTAAAATAACAAAAAAAGGATTTGAATTAAATGTTTAAGGTATGAATGAATTTTGCATTAATTAAATTAAAATTGAATCAACTCTTCACTTTTCTTCTCTAGATTAAAATTGTGAGATATCAGTTCTCCGAGATATCATTAAAAGCTAATAAAACTTTAGAGCTACTACATACATTGAACACAATAATTATGGTAATATAAATATTTGAAGTATATGTGTAAATTAAGTTTAGAAAAAGTCCCTCAGCATAATAAAAATGAGAAAAATACTTTAATTCTATTCTTTCCAATATTTGTGAACTTACAAAAGAATTCAAAAAAAAAATGATGCTATTGTTAAACAATTTTAATTTAAATTTCAAAATATCTGACAACTTTATTATTTTTAAAGTAAAAATAATTTTAAAATATTAAAAATTTCATTTCTTTAAAAATGTTCATTTACAATAAATAGAAAAGCAATGCATACATACACATTTCGACATATAAACGTAATATACAATAAAATATTTAATATCCTTTTTGTTCAAATTGAAAGTGACTTACAATTTTAACTGCTTTTAACATAGACTATTTACAGCAAACAAAAATATATTTGTATATACATATGTATGTAAGTACATATATGAATGTTCTCACATAAGCAAATATAGAAAAAAAACTAATATTTACCACAAATAGTTCCCACATTCTTTTGCCTCTTGGTTCAATTAATTTACAAATTTTTTCCATAGCTTCCATTTCCATTCGTTTTTTATCCTCTTTAGTAACACCACAGAATGGTGTTAAATCACCAACAATACATTCAGCTAAATCATGTACCAATGCTAATTCCATACATTTTGTTTGATTTAATCCTTCGGTACCATCTAATAGGAATGTCATCATTGCCATACGATACATATGACCGGAAATTGATTCACAATTTTTAACATCACGTAATACAAAACCAGTACGTTTGGTGTGCTGAAACAATGAATAAAAAAAGAATGAATTAAAAAAAATTAAATTTTTAAATATTTTTTTTTAAACTAGGTACAGTATGTATGTATAGTCGACATGAAGTTTATACACATATTCTGAATAAAGAATATAATTATTGTATGTGAAAATTAAGTTAAAAAAGTAAATCGGAAATATACACAGAAAAGAAAAATAATAACAGACAATCACAATAATAATTTATTCATTTCGATATTCATCTCAATAATAGGGTAAGTGATTTATTAAAATTTTTATAAAAACACAGAATTGACCGGCGATAGAAACCTTGAATTATAAAAGTATTATAAAATTGAGTGTATTGTCATATGTTTTTAAGGTAAAAATGGCAAAAGTGTTTTACAGAGAACACAAAACAAAAAGTGTTATACAGCCTAATTCCAACTGACCAACAAAAGAAAATATAAGGCCGTAATTATTACAGCACTTTAAATTTCATTTATAAACTCCATTTTTATCAACTTAGGTATTGTAAACTAAATTATAACAAAATAGGAATTCTTTTACAGCCATATTCAAATGTCGTTAGAATTTAAAGAGAGAAAAAAACAAAGGATTATCAAGATTAAAAAATTTTCATTTAACACAAAAGAATTTTTTTTCCTGTTTTTATTCGTTTTTATTAAAGTAAAACCAACCCTTCTTGGTCAGACTCCTGGTTTTAAGTTAAAAAACAATTGCTACAATATTATACTTTTTGATCCGGAATTTTTATTTAAAAAAAGAAAATATTGTTTTTGTACCTCTTTGAAATAAAAATTGAAACGATTATTTTTACCAATTTACTTGCATTTTTGTATAGAATTGACTTCAATTGTAATCAAAATTTTGCAAAATTACGATATATGCTTAAATAAACATTAAACAGTGTTGCAAAGCGAAAGAACACTAAGATATTTTAGAGCTTAAAAACTGCGCCAAAAAAATCATGAAAAAATTAGATGTTCGCAAAATTGTTTAGTATTAATTACGTGATTTACTAGGTCAATTTAGACCTAGTCAAAAATATGTTTACTCGAAAGGGCTGAAGCCTGATTTAACATTTTTATAAAACTAAGTTAATTATAAGGAAAACATACAAAGAAACACCTTGGCGTGGGAAAACCCCTTTCGAAGTAATTCATTCGTAGGCGAGCCACCGCTTTGCATTCACGCAATAAGTCCTCCACTGTTTCGTTCTCTTCCATGCAAAGACGGCAGATATCTCGATCTCCCTCTGCCTTGTCTATACTTTTCAGATGGTGAGGGCAATGACCTCAAATCTGGAGAACCAAGCGGAAATTTTTCCAATGATTAACTATGACCGTTCCTTCCAATCATGCACGGCGCGCCTGACTGTTGGCCTCAGCACTCTGGGTGAGACCATCAGTTTTTTCATTTGCGTCTATACCATAATGTCCCGGCACCCACATCAAAGTTACCTTGTCGTACCTAGTCAGAACGCCGAGAGTACGAGTATCAACACATTTCTTTAGCAGTTTGGATCCCAGTACATCAAACAAGAAGGTTCCAAGAATGGCCCTCCTGTTCGACATAACAAAGTCCCGCTCCTCATGAGTCTCTTTCTGGTACACTTCAAAGCACACAATTCAATAGCACAATGGTTTTCTTTGAAAGATGTTATTTCAAATACGTATGTTATTTAAATACGTAAAATATTTACAACGTCTACAATCGAAATTGAAATAAACTTATGAATTCACCACTGGAGCCAACTGCTGACTATTCAAACACACATTTATATACACATTTATGCCAAATTTATAAGTATAAGATTATCATTTGAAAATATAATAAGGGATTGTTATTAAAATATGTATACGTATATGAAGATTTACGTAATTTAATGAAGACTCAAAGGGCAAAACAACTCGAAGGCAAATAAAAGGAAAATAAAAAAAAAATTTTAAAAATACACGAATCAAGATAATTTTTTTAATAACATGAAAATTCAAAAATTATCATTTGCCCCAATAAAAAAAAATAAAATAAATCCAATTTAAAATGGAAAAAAATGAATTTTTTCCTGTTTGTTACAACTTTAATAATTTAGTAATTAAGTTGAATTGATGTAAATTAAAAAAAGAAGAAAAAAAAGCAGAAAAAATATCGTCAGTAAACGGTAATTGTGGACCAACTTTTAAAAATATTAAATTATTTACAGTTTTGCACTTGCACTTGCATTTGTTTTTTTTTTAAATTTTTTTATTTTTCGAAAAATCAACCTTTATTGGAATGAAAGTGTTGGTAAACAGAAATTAATTACAAATTTAAATCGCACGTACAGTGGCTATAAAACTTTTCTGAATGCAAATCATATATGTAATTGATTTTTAAGTAAGAGTATTTAAAGAGTAGTGAAAATTAAAAATTTTATTGATTCGAATGAAATTTAATTTGGGATTATGACATTTAATTAAAGAAAAAGATGTCCAAAATTGCTGTAACATATCTGTATAAATGCATGTGGCGCTTAAATACACATCAAGTTACTGTAATTTTTCAATATTAATACTTATAATGACAGATTTGTCATAAGTTGTCATAAATTTTTCTTATAACAAATATAAACTAATAAAAAATGCTTAACTTTTAACCCGACGAGGTGGTAGTAAATTTTGTAATTGTTGTATGCTCTCTTACTCATTGTTAATTTGTTAATGTTCGATGAATATGTCAAAAAATTTCACGTCGCCATACAACAACATTACATTTGTTGCACTAACTACTTATTCAAAAACAAGCGTAATTATTTTCATTTTCAAATTTAAAATCCGTCACTATTTACTTTTAAAACAACTTTTGAGATCAACCATTACAAGTGCTATAAATAATTTTAATCAGAATCAACTGGTTGCCATTTTGTTTTTATAAATTCTAAGTATTATAAAAAAATTACTTGACTAAAAAGGAGGTTAAGTGTAATAAAATAGGAAAAATAATTGCCAAAATTTATATAAAATATTTCTAACGACTTTGATTACACAATAATAATTTGAACTTTAAAAATTGACCTGAAAATTAATGTTTCTTAATTTATAAGAAATAATTTAATGAAAGAAGTTTAGTACCTAACAATAAGCAGAGGTGGGTTGTGTTAAAACATATGTTTAAGACAGTATGTAAGAACATGATAAATAAGACAATATTAAAACAATTTCTATAGAGCATTTACATTTCAGAATAACAGGTTACGATTCACAGTATAAGACAAAAATAACCAGTTTGATAAAATTACAATAGTTACTTTTATTAATTATATCATGACCGGAAATAGTTGAAATGAACTCTGTCTACAAATAAAAAAACAACCTACAAAATGCATATTTTTAAGTTAAATAACAGTTCTGCAATAAATTATTAATCTACTCTCTGCTTCAGAAAAAAAAATCAATTACTTTAAATTATTTTAACACTTTTAAAGAGAAAAATGCTTTAATTTATATGGCACACTTTTTAACAGCAGTTTCTATTTCTCTTTCTGCTTTCGTTTTTTTCTGTACTTGACAAATAAACATAAAAATTCCTTTAAATTTCTCTTGCACGTTCTATTTATGTTGAAAAACTTTTCACTTATATTTTGAGAAAAATAAAGTAATTTGTTATTAAAAATCGATTTATTTGATTTCCATCTAAAAGCAAAAATTTAAAAAAAAACAACGATCAATAAAAGTTTTTATAAAACAAATATAATTTTTATCAAAATAGTTTCGTACATAGTTTTAGAAGTGCATGTAATAGTTTATACTTTTATATATATACAAATATACTCTCGCATTTACAATACCCACGTAGAGCGCCATGTGCACGGGAGCATACTGTATATCTAATACTCACACATAATATATAGAGAAGAGCATTTCAAAAAAATTGTACAAGAACATTTTTACCACACTTAAAACTTAATACTAATTTCCTGAAGATTTTTGTTTTTGTTTCGAGCCATAAAAATTTTATATATAAATAAGAGCTATATAAAAATTTTAGACAAACGTTGCATTTTCTAACAGCTTTTAATGTCATTACGAATAAAGATTATGAGGAGGATGTAGTTAAACAAAGAAGAAAGGAAAAAAAAAATTGTTTTTGCAATGACACCAAGTGTATTCTTAAGAATTATATTTAAATTTACGTGTTATTCTTTGTAAATACGTAAGAATTGAAGAAAAATAAAAAAAAAATAACATTTTTGTAGCTGAGGCTTAAATTTTTATGTAATTACTAATTTTCTTATTTGTTTTAGCTAAATATTATTACATTTGCACTTCTACACAACACCGTATCGTAAATATTTTTTTTTTTTCATAATTATTAGGCACTTCAATTATAGACACATGTGCTTACATGTACTTAGCAAATATGAATAGAAGGCGATTTATTTACACGATCGGCTAAAAATACCTCTTGTTACTTGTGTTATCCAACTATATAGACATACATATGTATATACATATGTATTTTCTAACTCTTAATTCAACAAGTGTACTAAAATTAATTATTTTATTGGTGCTAATTGATTTATTAAGTAGATCTATTTTTTTGCTTGACATATAACAATAAAAAAAATTTTAAAATAATAATGAAATTCGATTTTTAAGATGTTCATACAATTTTTTATTCGATTTCAACTAGCGATTCTAAATATTTAATAATTTTTCTAAATTAATTAAAAAGTAATTTAAGAAAATGGTAAGGTAGTCACTATATTCTTATTTTCGAAATTATTCGAAACAAATTGAAATTATTCCGAAGAGGACCCAAATTTTTGGCGACTATATTTTTATTCACTTTTTCTCCTTAATTTTGAGAAAATTAGTTTTAAACAAGTTGGGATCACGAAACAAATTCATTCATTAAAAAGAGAAAGATTCATTCATTGTCGCCAGAAACTAGAACATACATAACGTATATGTATGATAAAGTTTCAGCCCGATAAAATTTATCAAATTTATTAAACTACACCG